GAGGACCAAGGTTTCTCAGGGGATAGGTGTAGAAGAGGGAGAGCTAAAAGCTCTTATTTTAATTAGGAGTAAAGACAGGGTGATAATCCTCTTGTCCTCTGGGAGATGGCTATCTATAGTGCCAGAGAATCTAGAGACCATTTCCTGAAAGCTGATTGAGTCTGCCCAAAGGGGTTGGGAATAATGGAGAGAGAATGGGAGAATAATCTTATCAGGCTCCCGGTTATAGGTCCTAGGGGCTAGTATTTGAGCCTTTAAGCCAAGACTAAATGCTTGTTTAAATTTAGAGATGATTTTATGAAGGTTAGAGAAGGACTGGTGTAGCCACATCAAAGGTCTGGATTGCCTCAAGGCTTCCAAGAAACCTGTTAGTGTTCACAGAACAATGGCCAAGAGGGGCCTCTTAGGGTCATGTTGACCCAGAGAATAAGTAGATAGCAGAGAAACAATTTTATTAAGAAAAGTAATAGCTTTGGACATTAGTTGAATTTTTGTGGAGGGGCATGTAGGGCCCTCCAACAGAGAAAAAAGATGTCGTTTCTCTTGATCTGTAATCAGGAGGAAAGGTTTGAGCCAATTGACGTGCCACATAGTTGTTGGAGCTCAGCCAGTGTATATTGGGCTGACTAATTTGAATGAAAGTGGAAGTATTTGTTTGGCAATAGAGAAGCCCAAAAATGTAAAGGGGGCAGCATATTGAATCTTTTTGGGGGCAACCTGTAGGTCAAAGGATGCTAGGTTGTGCAGGAGAGCATGGGATGTCCTTTTTAGGTAGTGAGCATCGGGATTGGCAATGAGAATATCATCCATATAATGGACAAGTAGAACATCCCCTGGGATGTTTTGACATGCCTTTGAAACATATAATTGGCAGCGAGTAGGGCTATATTTTATGCCCTGAGACAATATGGTCCATTGATATCTCTTGGCAGGCTTACTCATGTTGGGTTCCCAAACCGTAAAGGCAAAATGGCATCTATCTGGAGGTAAAAGGTGTATTTGGAAGAAAAAGTCCTTAACATCTAATACAACAATGTGATATTAGGATTTATGGTACTAGGGTGTGGCAGGGCAGGCTGCATTGTCCCTGTCTTTTCCATTTGTGCATTAATGGCATACAGGTCTTGGAGGAGTCTGTAATGGCTTGACTTCTTTAGGATGACAAAAATGGGGATATTGTGTCTATTAGTGGATGGCTCTAAATGCCCCAGGTCTAATTGTTTTTTTTTACTAAGTCCTTAAGTGTTGACAATTTGAATTTAATGATGGGCCACTGCTCCATCCAGACATCATCATCAGAGAGCCATGAGAGGGGTATAGGATTTGGTAATATTGTGTGGTCTCTAGGTGGGCAGTGGCCTCTAGAATTGGGGGCATTGTTCTGTTGAAGAAGAGTGTTGCATAAACCCTGAGAGGCCTATTTTGTCATGGCTTATGTAATTGAAAAATGCACATTCATCTGTGGTTAGGACAACCCCCATATCTTCCAAAACGTCCCTTCCCCAAAGGTTACAAGGGACATTAGTTACTATGGGGGAAAAAGAACCTTGGTTGCCATCAAGATCCTTTTAGTGGACTGGCCATACGGTGGCTAGGGAGTCCTGTTGTCTGCCAACCCAGCTGATGGGAGAGCCTCCATTTCTGTGAGGATGTAAAATCTGCTCCTTTGTCCATCAACCTTTAACAGGTTGTCCATTTGGATGTATGATCATCATAGGAGAGTTGGGGGGACAGTGTCCAGAACACGTTGAGAGTGGTATCACTCCCTCCTACTGGTGGGGCTGAAGGATGCCCTAGCTGGAGTTTAAAGGAGCAAGGTAGTCTGAAGGCTGTGAATGGCAGTCCTTAGCCAAATGGAAGCCTTTGTTGCATCTGGGACAGTGTGTCTTTGGATGCTCCTTAGGACAGTCATGCCACCAGAGTCCAGGCTTGTCACAGCCCCAACAGGATTGGTCTGGCAGGGTAGAAGGGCCCTGACGGTCAGAAGACCGTTGTGTGTTTGACAACAGGGCATTGATGGAGGCAGTTAGGGCAGCAATGGGGCCAAGACAAGAGTCAAAATGGTAGCCAGGACCCATTTATGGATCTTGTCATTACACACAGTAGCCACCACATTTTGGGTAGGGGCATTAAGCCCTTCCCATGTCAACTTCTTAATCAAAACTTCCTGGGTTGGTCCTGGATCTTCCCTATATTCCACTGCCTCAGTGATCCATGTGAGGAAGTCTGTAAATGACTCACCAGATTGTTGGTAAGGTTGTGGAAATAAGCAGAAGAGTCTCAGGGAATTTATGCCTTAAGGGCCTTAAATGTCAGATCTGAGACCTGTTGAAAATAGGCGTATTGACCAATGGTAGATTGGGACACTAGATCAATACATTGGCCATGCCCAGTGAGCATGTCTAGGGTGATGTCAAAACCATAGTGGAGGTTAAGATGGGCCTGTGCCTTGGCTTGATCATCATAGGCAGAGTACCAGAATATAAGTTCTTCACACTGTAGCACAAGTGGTCTCTATTACAATTCACCAAAGAATGTTCATTTCCACCTGAAAGCTTCTGAGTAGTCTTTAAGTTCTTCATTTCTGTGGGCATTTTCCCTTCCAGCTTCTCACTAGACTCTCATGTTACTGTCTGCCTACAGCACTGTAGATCTTTTCCACCTCAGAGTTTTGCACTGTTCCAAACCACCCTTACAAACCAGTACTAAAGTCTTCTAACTCACATTGTTACAAACAGTGAAAGCCCTGGCTCCCTTCTCTGATACCAATTTTCTTTGTCATATATATAAAAAATTACTGAGTCATTATTTCAGCAATCTAAGTCCAAGGTCGATTGAACTTTTACTTTGGGCTGAGGTAACAAAAAATATGGTGCATGCAGTTAGTCCTTGCCATTCACTGAATTACCAAAGAGATACAGGTAGTACCTCTGTGTATCACTATATTCCCTTGCTGTGCTGATATTATATTCCAGTGTAAATGGAATTTTTGTTTTTGTTTTGTTTTTTGAGACAAGGCTTCTCTGTAGCTTTGGAGCCTGTCCTGGAACTCTCTCTGTAGACCAGGTTGGCCTCAAATTCACAGAGGTCTGATTCTGATACCCAAGTGCTTGGATTAAAGGTGTGTGCCACCACTGCCTAGGATGGAATTCTTTCTTATTATATGTATTTTATTTCTATGTTTTATTCTAAAAGGAAGAACACACATTGGATCAGACTGTAAGGAGAGGCCAGATCGTATTAGAAAGGTCTGAAAGCCTGGATCCCATACATGGTTTCCAGAATCTTTTACATAGACAAACCTTAAATTGAAAAGGTTATCTAAAGTTATCTTTGAGGGAATGAATGTTCCCAGTCATTTCCTCCTTCCTGGAAGGATGATGTCAAATTATATGCATATGAGTGGCTTATGCATGGAAGATGCAAATGAATTACAAAGGCTTATGCAAACAAGATGAATTTAAAATAATTAATGTGATTTAGATGTATGAGGCCTCAAATTTTCATGAGCAAAGTTTTGTATGTGTGACATGCACACATACACACACACACACACATGTGAAAACACCAGTACCTTACAGTTTGGAAGAAGGATACCCCTTCGGTATCGCCAAAGTATGGGCTTGGTCATAATACTAGCTTACTGCTTTTCTAATTTCACACACAGAATGTCTTTTAGATGTTATTTGCACATCTTTGCACATCTTTTTCAATTGCTGCATTGTTGCTATTTTATTTTATCCCTCTTCCATTTTTCATTACTGATAAGATTTTGCTATAGATAACATCATTTGGTGAAGTAAAGTTTAGTGTCCTTACACATTGTAAAAAGTTCTCTCCAAATTTTTTATGAGATAAATATTCATGTCACTTTCTTCTAGTAAAGCCTGTTTTGTTATTTTCTAATCTGGTCTTAAATAACAGGATATTAAGTCCAAAGTTTAAACCAAGGCTCCAAGATGATAAATGTCAGAGAACAAACCAAGCTGTGAGGAACAATGTCGAAGAAGATTCAGAACCTAGTTAGAAATGTTTTAGTCTCAGCTCAAATATATAAATATTAAATTTCTGAAAATAGAAATGGGTTATGAAGAAAATTCCATG